TAAAATTTTGACTTTCTATCGGGTCCTCCAGATAATGGTGAAAACAAGTGGAAATGTGCAGCTCATCTTAAAGCTTAGTATTCAGTATTTGAATCAGTGAATGCAATCATTAGGAGTCAAATATCGGAGTAATTCCTCACATTCCCATAGTTTGTATGCTGATACCGCTAGGTGGAGAGCTGAATTTATCTCCATAACCTATCATTGCATTTCTAAGGGGGTATGTTCTGTGAGCAAAACACATTTGCTAAGCCGAGAAGGTGGGTTTGCCCATTGCTCCACTAGAAACTGCTTTTACTTCTGAGCTACCAGTGGCGGCACATTTTCGTTTTTATTAGTTTATTCATTGTAACGGTTTAAAATTAATTTAGCCAGTGGCTCACCTGTCTGCTAACCCGTAGTTCTCAAATATATGTAGACTTAAGTTATAATTGTGATAAACGATTTTTATTTGTAATTTGGATGTAGTAAACAGGTTTGTGAGGTTAGGTTAACAATATTTCAATAATTATTTAAATTTCAGTGTTTAAATATTTGTATCTCGCTTCCAAATATCAGCAGACTTTATCATTGTTTTGTCTGGCAACGTGGTGGCTGACCACGGTTTTTGAAGGGAACGGACAAAAAATGAATCAATAAATGTGACCCAGCGAAGGGCAATCAAGTGCGAACAATAGTCGAGTACAGTCTATCACTCTCCTCAGCTCAACCGTCACTTTGACCACCGTGTCCGCCATCTTTCTGCTGTCTGTTGTAGATCCAAGTAGTGAATTGTATAGCCAGAGACAGTCTTGAACAGATTTGGAGCTAACACGTACACATCGACAGCACGTGTCGGCGGCATAGACATTGAGCTAGTGTTGGGGCGAATATTGCCACTTGTTAAACGTTACTAATTTGTATTTCTGGAAACTTTCATTAATTGTATTAGATTAGGTAATTCGGGTATTTAAGTAAATCAAGCGGTAAGCAGGCGGCAGCTTGTGGTCGTCAAACCACGCGTTCCTTAATGGTTTTTTTGTGTAAGCTTAAATAACCTATCAATCAGATCTTAGGTAAACTGTTAAAAATAAGTTTAAAATTCAGTTAATTTTCACCAAAATTTGTTACTGAAAATTCAGTTTTTGGTTGTTGAAAATAAGTTCATGTACATTTTGATTTAATTTTTAGTATTCTTATTGAAAATACAAAATGAAATAACATGGAACTGAAAAGATTTCAGATCTTAAACTATTTGCAGGTACTGATTGAATATGAACGAATCTGTCAGTTCGTACTACAATGGACGAATCTGTCAGTTCGTACTACAATGAACGAATTAACAGATTTCCAGCTAATAGAAACACTTTCGTATCATCGTATAAACGGATGTATGGCTTAAAACAGTTTTACCATTTCCATGCTTGGTTGGGATCTCCGGTTCGAACCCCGGCCAAGACGTAAAAATTTTCCCGCAGCAGGGTTAAAACTACAATTAGGCATTCCAAACCACGTGGTCAAAATTGACAGCTGTGGGTAAACATTGAAACGAAACCAGTCTGTTGAGGTTAATTGTTTGATTTACTTTTAGCTGAATTTAGCCGGATTTAGTGTTTTTTTAGTGATAACAAACTTTTTAAGATGCATAGTGAATATTTAAAGACATTATTGTTGGAAAGTCCTGATGTCGGAGAAAG